CACATAGGAATTATCAAATCCCAACCAACACCAGTAGACAATGTTGATAAATAACAAATTATGTACAATAAATTTAAAGCTAAAACAGATACTGACAAAAAAATCGGCACAAATGGGGTAGATATGCACAAACAGCGCTATAATCCTTCATGTAGAAAATAGTTTCAGGGAACAGCATTCAACCTCATGTCAGGTTTAATAAATAAATAGGTCATGTTTTTTCAAGGAATATTTTTTATAAGTATTGAGGGAGTTAATGGAATACCATGATCCTAGCATATGTATATAAATAGGATAAAAATATCCTACCCTAGGGTACAGAATAGTTTTTAGCGAAATTATGTACCCAAGAATGGGGCATTTCTATCCTACCTTCGCATATGGTAGAGTTACATTTTCATGCAACGATTACCCATTTATTTGAATAAGATGTGTAACCACCAACTAGAGGAAAACATATCAACATTTCCAATCTCTAATAGTGAACCGATTTTAAAATGTTCTATACAACTGGAAAGAGCGTGACACATACAAACTTCAAACTGCAAAACAAATGAAAATAAAATAAAATAAAGCTTCTTCAGCAACGCCTTCACAAAAAAAGGGATATGCTACACCTTACAGTAAGGACTATTAAGTTTAATTTTGTGAAATAGGAAATCAAATAACGATATTTTATAACTTGTCAAATACTTTTGGTATCAAAAATCATCGGGGTGCAGATGACATCCATATAAACGTTTTAACAGAGGCAGAACATTTCTTACTGAAACAACTTTTAAACCAATTTTAACTTACCGTTACGTACGGGCCATCTACCACGAGAGCTGAAGAAGGGAAGGATTATAGCCGTTTTCAAGAAAGGGGGTAAGCGTTAAGCAGGAATATACCGGTCTGTTCATCTAACTAAAGTTATATGAAACTTCTTAGAAGTTCGCGGTTTGGATATTTTTTGGGCGTTGAGGGAGGGGGAGGGGGTCACAGCCAAGAAAAATCAAGTTGTCGACTTAACGAAAAACATTAATAAAGAGGTTAGTATCAAGAAGTTGTGTGGTACTCTTCAACACAGGAGGGTTTAAAGCAATGCCAAAATAATAATAACCCAATTAAAGCGTTCATTTACATATTACCATAGTAATAACCATAGAAAGCTTTACACAATAAATGTCAAGATTGTAAATACTTAATATGGCTGTCGGGTGGCGCAGGTGATAACTCACTCGTTTCTTCACCAAGGTGGCCGGGTCCCCCGAAAAGGTATGGGGTCACCTGCATAACCACGCCTGTTTTTTTCCCGTGTACTCCTGTTTCCGCTCAAATTAAGACCCTCTGTATGCTATCATCTTGCCCATAAGTGTGATTAATATCAATTGATTAACTTGTTTCATAATTGTTGTGAAAGTTTCAAGTTTTCTGTAGTTCCAACGAAGGTCTGGAGGCCAATTTTGAAATGAAATTTGTATTGTTAGATAATGAAATAATATGGTTTGTAAGTAAAATCATAAATGTAGATAATGAAGTGTTTAATTGAAAGTGATAACAGATCACTGTTTGTGCCATATATCCTTGTGGAAACACGTCAAATGGAATATTTCCCAGAACACGTTTCCAGAACTGAACCATAAAGAGCGGGAGAAATATGATTCACTTTAGGAAACCTTTACACCTCTATGCAATCTAGGAATAAATATTTGATAACATTGTTACCTACGTGTTCTTCCTGTAGTGCTTACCTGTTATAAATCATTTCACTATAATATGCACTAATTGGCTTCAGCCCACGGCTTTCTGTATTTTTTTCGTACATTACTTCATGACACATTTGAAAGATATGCATGGATGTACTCGCTGCTAATGCTAAGGTAATCATGACTTATTAAATGATGTTGTTCTTTTATTACGATGGCAACAAATTAATCCAATACATGTATATCACTATATACCGCAATCTAATTAAAATCAGATCTCTCACTTCGTTAACGTAGTGTACTGTAATGAGAGATCTGGTTTCAATTAGATTGCATATACCGCTTCATTGAGTGTTACAGTTTGAGTTTGACGTTCAAGTTATTGCATAATTTACAACAGAAGCGATCAACCATATCCATTGTTTAAAGTAATCATGTCTGTTAATGTAGTAATGTGTGCTAGCGTTTACAGGGCGCTCAGAATAACAACCAAATAGGGGCAGCTACCATTGCTGAAGTCACCTTCCCGTTAGAAAATCCAGATTATACCATTATATTCCTAGTGTCGTCAATTGTTATCATTCTGGTCGGCCTCGGTTTGATACAATGTAATAGGGTACATGTTTATGTTGCGTTAGTGATGAGTCAAATAGTTCTTCTTTTTTAACTTTCGTTTTCTTTTCGTATTTCCTATATACACGTATTTGCAAACAGGTCAGCAATTAAGATTTGAAACCGATGATTAATATTAAAAAAAAAATCTAAACGTGTGATTATTAGCTTCATATATATAACAGCTATATAGATTTTTATTTTTTTTTATTTTTCACTGATATAAGTTCACCAGTATTATACATACAGCTGTATATAATTATCTTCGTTCGGCATTACCTCGGGCTAGACTCTAAAGCGTGACAGTACTATTAATTACCTATCAAATAGATTGATATCTGGCAATATTTTTATATGCCCATAACGTTTTTGAATCGATGCAAGTTTTGTGTTGTCTCCCCATAATTAGTCTAATGATATATTGGTGTTGTACTTATAATTATACAGCAAATACCGCTCTCTGGTTTATAAATAAGAAGTGTTGATATAATCATAATGTGAATCTGTCATGAAAAACTGCATTAGTATTCGGAGAGAGTTAAATTCAAATAGCTCAACGTCGATGGTCACAATATAAACCAAAACAACGCCAGTGACCACGATCACTTCTCCGTTACACAACGCCAATGGTCGTGATATCAGTAATTCACCGTCGATGGTTATGGAAAAGAGCGCCATTGGACGTGATATCAGTAACTCACCGTCGATGGTTATGAAAAAGAGCGCCAATGGTCGTGATATCAGTAACTCCCCGTCGATGGTTATGTAAAAGAGCGCCAATGGTCGGGATATCAGTAACTCACCGTCGATGGTTATGAAAAAGAGCGCCAATGGTCGTGATATCAGTATCTCACCGTCGATGGTTATGAAAAAGAGCGCCAATGGTCGTGATATCAGTATCTCACCGTCGATGGTTATGAAAAAGAGCGCCAATGGTCGTGATATCAGTAACTCACCGTCGATGGTTACGTAAAAGAGCGCCAATGGTCGTGATTTCAGTAACTCACCGTCGATGGTTATGTAAAAGAGCGCCCATGGTCGTGATATCAGTAACTCACCGTCGATGGTTACGTAAAAGAGCGCCAATGGTCGTGATTTCAGTAACTCACCGTCGATGGTTATGTAAAAGAGCGCCAATGGTCGTGCTTTCAGTAACTCACCGTCGATGGTTATGTAAAAGAGCGCCAATGGTCGTGCTTTCAGTAACTCACCGTCGATGGTTATGTAAAAGAGCGCCAGTGGTCGTGCTATCAGTAACTCACCGTCGATGGTTATGTAAAAGAGCGCCAATGGTCGTGATATCAGTAACTCACCGTCGATGGTTATGTAAAAGAACGCCAATGGTCGTGATATCAGTTACTCACCGTGGATGGTTATGTAAAAGAGCGCCAATGGGCATTATGCTGTTTGTTTAATGTTGACATGGTTATTGTATAGGAAATATCGCTTAAAACATATTCCATTCAGACAGGACCATTTCCTTAATATATTATAATGAATAAAACATCTTTACATTGGACATTTCAGCTGATACTGCAGATGTCAATTTATTTTCAGTCAGTACTGATGACGGGATACATGATTTAATCGACAAACCATACGGGGGAATCGATAGTTAGATTCTAGATAAGCAGGATATGATATGGTTATATTACAATAAACATTACTCTCAATATAAAAAAAATCACATTGCTTTTCATGTAATGTACCAAATCCATGTGACATTAAATATTTACTTCGTGGATACTTCTTTTTCTGGTTGGCGAACAAATTCCTATCTATTCAATAAACCTGTACTCATTTATACTGATACTTTATACCACATTCGTCCTTTGTGGTAGGGGTAAAAACACAGGGACGATTACGTATATATAATATGCACAAATTACTAAATCAATTATATCCTTTTTAAAAATATGTACAGTAGCTCATGTTTCATGGAACTCCACTAAACTAGCTTGATGCAAACCAATAGACCGATCAATTGTGTATGGCCTTTGGGAGTCCCTGCATTACCACAAACTTGTTTCAGTAAATTGAATACCATTTTCATATGGAATGACTCAGACATATATTTTAACTGGATCATTCCCTTCCAGATAAAATATTATATTTCTGTCGCTGATTGCACACTGTCAAAGGATTGAAAATGCATACTTATGTGTCATATATAACTATGAAACGTAAACTCTGAACAAATATACCTCAGTTTAAATTATTATGTTATCAATTACGTAAGTATGTAAGATGAAGTTTGGCTTATAATGTTTATTGTTTATCATCCTGAGAATTGGATATGTATCATTTGTCCCAACACATTCCGAGATTTCCCCCATACTAAAAAATAATACTGTGAACTATAATTGTCCTCCATGATATAGGGTAACCAAAACGACCGCAGGTTTAATGAATGTTAGTTTAATTGGTCTCAGATCCATGAGAACAGAAACGATTAAAACATTTAAGCTATTGATAAGCTTTCAAAACCAGGCAAAGATATTGCTTCATTTCCTATTGAAGTCTTCATAGAAAATCATATTGTGGAATCCTTGTCGATCTCATCAAGAACAAAATATTTTAAAACCTTATACATACGACAACGCAGTGTCAACAACACACTGTTGGTTTGGGTCGATAATTAATAAATCAGCATATACTAGAGCAATGTTCAGACACTGTTTTTTAATATCTGTTCTATTTTTCAGGTGTATGCTACTTTACAACTCGTTAGAGGAGCTGTTGACATGGAGCGAGTGATGTTAAATGTGGGTGGCAGAATGTTTGAAACCACCTATGCCACGTTACACACCCAGCCGGAGACACGACTAGGAAAGCTTTCGATGGACTCCAATGAATACTGTGAGGAAACAAAACAGTTCTTCTTCGACAGGAATCCTGACTTTTTCAACTCGTTGTTGGACTTTTACAGGACAGGCGAACTTCATTTGCCGAGTTGTTACTGTGGTGCCAGCTTACGACACGAGCTGTCGTTCTGGGAGCTACAAGAGGAAGACCTGTCAGAATGTTGTCTCCAAGTATACTACAAATATGATAATGATAAAGAGACGATGAAGACACTAGAAGCATCTGTGTCAGTCCGGGATCTGGACTACACTGACAAGGAGTGTGCAGCCAGCACATTTGTGTGTGTGAAGCGGGCAATATGGTTGTTTCTGGATCAACCAAAGTCTTCCTTTCTTGCTAAGGTAAACTTCATGCAGCATTTTTTTAAATTTAAGCTTCCTTAATAGGTCATTATAGTTTCTAGACATAATTATCATAAACAAATTGTTTAATAATTCTAAATTTATGCCTCAAATTTAATCGTGATTTTCCCCTTTGCTAGATGAGGCCTTAGCTGCAATTCTAAAATAGAATGTGTCATGTTATAGATTTCGTCGCTTCACTTTATATAGTGATTGGTTTAATCGAGAAAAACTTAAGTTTGCTGCTTTGCTTTTTGTTCCTCTATCATATTGACACATTAAAAGCTATTCCATACAAAAACTCGTCACTTAACTTTAAAGACAATACATTTTTTATGAAAATAACTAAAATCTCATTACTAAAATCTAAATTATAAAATGTACTATTTGTGTAAAATCAATTACCCGCCAAACATATCGATCCTTACGGGAAATTATTAAGTTTCAACTTATATTTCCGTTGGGGCAATCTACCTCTATGTCGAGACTGGTACAAGTGTAAATATAAACACCACCCATGAAAGATTATTGTGTTTTCATCCGTATACTACTTTATTCATTATCATGGGTTTTCAATATGAGAATAAGCAATAAATAGTTAAGGACGACTCGAGAACAACATGAGAACATCTTGAAAATGGATTTTCTTAATTGAGAACGTATTTTGAACGTCTGCTAGGTGACGTCCTTAACCAGAAATAGTATCCACATAAAGGTGATCCGTTATAAACAGACCGTTATAAACAAATCATTATGAAGTTATGAACAAATAGTGTGAGGATAACACCATCATTTTAAGTCCAAATGTACACATGGAAAAGCCAATGAAGATAATATTGTTATTTCTGCATAGTTTTAGTGGAAATCTTTTATTAGTTTACGTTTGTCAAAGACAAAGGATCTCGATCATCATTGAGCCTACAAGTCGATTGAAAGATATGGTTTTTAGTTGATATTTCAATGGGGAAACATATAAGGTATTAGTATATAGAGGATAAACGGCTGATCACACTGTATTTTCAGAGTTTATCGTTCGAACAATATTCTCATCACTCACACGTGGATATAATCTCGATTTTATCCACGTGTTCTCGATCAGAAAATGGTTATTACGACAAACCCTGAAAATACAGTGTGATTATTGATCATTATCATCTATATACTACTTTATACCACCTACCGGTAGCATGATCAATTCATTATCATTGGTTGTCAGTATGAGAAGAAGTTGAGAGGGACTTGAGAACAACTTGAGAAGTACATGAGAACGGATTGTCCCATTCCCCCGCACTTGGGAACCGATTTTCTCAAAAAAGTACGTCTGCTCGCGCCAGATGACGTCCGAAACCGTAAATACACCACACAAAAGTGATCCGCGTAAGAAAATAGTCCGTCATAAACATATCAATACAAATTTACGGAAAAAAATATTGTGAGAATAACAACACCATATCAGGTGTAAATATGCATATGGGAAAGTCAATGACGATAGGATTGTTTTAGAAATATTTTTTCTACGTAGTTTTAAGGTTCATTGTATTCCTTCACGCAAAACTTTTTGTTTACGTTTGTCACAGGCGATCGTTGACTATTGAGCTTAGAAGTCATTTGGAAAACATGGTGTTTAGTTGAGTTTTTCAAATGGAGAAATATATAAGGTAGTAGTATATAGATGATAAATAGTTTATCATACAGTATTTTGAGTGTTTGTCGTTCGAACAATTTTCTCATCGCTCGCACGTAGATAGAATCTCGAGTCCACCTGCGTTGACCTCTCGCGATGTGAAAATTGTTCGAACGACAAACCCTGAAAGTACAATGTGCTAATCCTCACTGCTACTACGTTATATCCCTAAATGAATACTACATGTACAGTGTATGCATCTATCAGAGAATCACAGAGAACAATAGAGTATTGTGTTCGCAATACAGAAATAAATTCTTGCTGCATGTGACAAAAAGACACATTTGACAACCTAAAGTACATTTTGCGTACAATGCTTCTTTCTCGTCCTACCCGAACTGTTTGGGGAAAAACTGTATTTGTTTATCTATAATGTTACTGTTGTTGATATAAATTGTCCTACATAATATGTACAAACAAAATATTTGAGCCCGAAAATTTAAGACAAATTATAGTTTTTTTGTTTTAAAAATATGCAGTTGCATAATGATGTCAGTGAAATATCTGCAATGCTAATAGAAGGGGCATGCATCTTTTCACGCGAAAATACATGATATTTAAAACATGACATCATACATTGTATAGGAAACCTTTATCTAAAGCATGTATTCCAAATTTGCCTAGCATAAAGCTGAAATTCTAAAGCAGATTTAACAAATTTCCTATCCAAAGCAGATATATATAAATACTAGATAATTTCTATCAAATTTGCCCAGCATATAGAAGAAACCCTTAGCATAAGTAGCAAACCCTTCTAACATATAACAGAAATTTAAAAGCATCTACATTGTACAAGTATAACAGATAGGCCTTGTATATAGTTGAAAATAACCCCAAGGCACCAAGGTATTCCTAGCTCTTTTAAAAAACAAATTGCTGAAATCCCCAATCCTTTACCATATCATGTTAAAACCTATTTCTTAAAGCGATCAAGAAACCATCGTCCCTAAATACGAGTGATTGCAGTAGAGAGCATTAGTTTAGCGTACTAATACATTATTTAGTTCAGAAGTAATGGGTCGTGTTTAGGATATAGAAGAAATAAATTGTTAAATCCTGAATGCAGTGCTTGTTATATTTAATATTGTCTTAATTAAAATTGATTAATATTAAAAGCAAATAAGGTCTGCATTTTAGAAACATTGCAGGTACATCTAACTGACAAGTGCCACTGCCTAGGTACATGTAGTTAGCTATGTCAAATAATTCCCTGGAGGACGGAATCGATTATGAATAAATCATTAGTACTGTGTATGTAGCAATCTACGCTGACGAAATTGTTTTCTGAAAACAAATTATGTATGGTGATTGTTGGTCTACACACATGATGTAGCCATCAGACCGTATAGTAGTCAGTAGGTGCTCGGTAACAGTAATGATGTCCCGCGGACTTTTTTTAATGTTTCTTTCCATACCTCCCCAACAAAAAGTGTCCTGATGAATTTTCATATTGAAAAAAAAAATCAAATGATTTACATGTATAAATCAGTGCTACATTATATATCAAACGAAATTCTCTTGTAAGAGAAAATTTACAATAATAACCTCGTACGCTGAAATTGCTGCAGCGATCTATTCATATAATGATAACAATGTAATATGTAATTTGAAGTTCAGAGCTTTTATATGTGATAGAATAGATGATAACAAATATTGTAAAACATATGTGTTCATGAGTATTCCTAACAAACGATTGTTTCAAATAACTAGTAGACTGTATGTTACCATTTCCAGGAAAGTGGCCTTTTCGGCTACCCGTAGACTGTATGTTACCATTTCCAGGAAAGTGGCCTTTTCGGCTACCCGTAGACTGCATTACATCATATTTGGAATAATGCCCTTTAATGGAAATGTTGTAATTTCTATCACCATTTTCGGGATTGTGACCTTTCATTGTAACGGCTCTAGCATCGAACAGTTGACGAAACTAATTATTTAACTTCATAAACTGATAATTTATTTATCACATGTACATAACTGGCCCATTTACTTGGCCATGCGGCCACGACATAAATTTGCTATAACACACGTGTACTAACACCTAAAATTGCTGCGATTTATCAAAGACGTGGAAATATATTCCTTACGCCACTACAGGTGCCACTTCTGTTTAATAAACTTCATAATAAATTTTCTGTTATTTCAAATGAATTTGTATTATTATTTTAACATTATTATTTTCATTGCATATAAAACCATTCATTATTATAGAAAAGAAATCTGAAAGTACTTTGCACTGTGCGGAACGACAACACTATGATCGGAGTACTTTGTTTTGACCAATAAAGTATCAGCGGATAACACATTTAATCGTGTTTGAAGTTGTTTTCAAATTATGAATGTTATGAAATAAAAGCTTATCAAATTATTCAACTCAGTTTAATAAATTCAATATGACATGGAAACTCATGTATGATCCTCTATAAAAACCATTGACTGATATTTGCGTACATTTGGTATATCTGTAGCATTGCTAGCTTTCTAATTGGACTGTTGATTGAGAGGAATAATCATTTAAATCATGAGTATTTATATTTAATGTGAAATGGATATGAAACAAAGGAATGAATTTATGCTAGTTTGACTGGTATCAAATTGACTAGACAATGTCATTTGCGTTCAGAACGTTATAGTTTACAGTCAGTTTTCATGTAAAGTTGATTGTAATGGATAACAATAACCTTACTTTTGATAAATTGTATCAATTTCATGATATACTACATGAATTGCTCATGTTGTAGGGAAACACGATTCGCCGGGATAAATCATATTTCGCAAAGGTGAAGCTCGAGTGAAACATTATTGATCGAGGAAACACATAGACCCGTGTTTACCTACAGCAATATCTTTAATCAATACTTTACTACATTACCTTTAAATATCTACGATTTCAAATGATTGTTTCAAATACAATGTATAGTTAACGTTGATGCTTGGCACACGACCGGTAGAACGGAAACAGTATGTGTCAATAGAAGCTGTACAATGATGTCAACGAGTCGATATAAAGAAGGTCATTTATATTACATAGTTCTAGACAAATAATGGGAACTACGTGTAAGTCATGTCAGCTATAGTTCCTAAATATATTCGGTTTTACTAGGTCGAGTCGAACCTTACATATGTTTGTAATGTGTGAGTTTATATTTCCATTTTGATCAGAGCCGCTATTTATACGAATACTGTAGCATTTGAGAATTCATTTGGCTCATTGATTCCGTGCTAATAATAGTATACTGTAAGTACAACCATATGTTAATCTTTAATTTAAACATTTTGTTTCAGATGTTCAACTTCCTGTATTTCTTCGTGGTGGTAGTTTCTATTTTGATGTTCCTGTTTGGATCACATCCCTGGTTCCGGTACGACAGAGATTTTAGTGGGCACGACAATGATACGATAGTGTACTGGTTGGCAGAAGAAAACTGGGAAAATCCAAAAGAGAGGCTGGCCACTGTAACGGAGGTTTACCCAGCTCTCCTTTACATAGAGAGAACGTGTATGTTCTTCTTCACGGCCGAGCTTGTTCTCCACTTCTTAACGTCTCCTAACAAAAACCGATTTTTCGGCAGCTGGATGAACGCGTTTGACACTGTTCTCGTTATTATAATGCTAATTGTATTCGGTATGGAAACACGTCTTGAAGTTGTCATTTCCAGTAGGGCAGGAGCCATAGCTTATCTCTTATTTAAATCATCCATTATCTGCAGACTGTTCCGACTGTTTCGACTTGTAAATCAGTACAGCGCTTTGCGGATCCTATTTGCCACTTTGCGATCCAGTCTTAAAGAACTAGTGTTATTACTTGCGTTGTTTCTCATGTCGGTCACAATTTTCGCTGGATTCGTGTATTACGCCGAATTCGAGGAGCCTACTACTTTCCCAGACCTGTTCGTGGCAATATGGTGGGCGGTTATTACCATGACAACTGTGGGCTACGGTGATCAATATCCAAAGACACACGCTGGTCGTGCAGTAGGCGTCTGTTGTGCAATGTGTGGTCTCTTAATCTTGTCCATGCCTATCGCTATTGTCGCGTCAAACTTCAATGACTTTCACTTACGGAATAAAGACAGGGAACGATTTCTTCTTAGAAAGCAGAAAAGGACCAAAAAGTCATCTGTATCACCAGTTTCACTAAAAAAGAAAGCATGCTCAATGGCTTCCTTGGTTGGCAAGATAAACGCTACAGATGACGACAATGGGGGAAATGAACTTCGTGACTTTCACCATACCTGAAATGCCTCATGTTGATTTCTGATGGTGATGTTACTTTGTAGTCATACCGGTCTGTATGCATCAGTGACCTTGATTCATTACGTGACATTATGCTTAAGGTCGTTTATAAATGATCTTCAATTAACAATTATCGTTAGAATATGAAAAAAAGAAAGGTTATTAGATAAATGTTACCATGGCGTTAACGCACGAGACCAATTAGTCGATAACAAAAGAGTTAAAAATAACAGGGAACCAAACAAAACATGGAAAACAAAACTATAAAAAAACAAATCTCATATTTTACCGGCCGATTTGTTTATAATTTGGTTTATGTTGTGCGACAGCAAAGATTGTAAGGACAAAGTTTGAAGCAAGCTGTGTGTTTGGAAGTCTATTTATTTCCTTAATAAACTTATTATAAAGTCAATTACTTGCTAAAAGAGAAACCTGTATTATCAGTATTTAATTTACTTCCGATTTGAATAAAGTCGTTTCTGTTTGATCAGTATTATCAGTGTTTTGGTAAACATCAAGTCCTTGATTCAGCGTAAAGAGTAGATACATAACTGGCCATCCCAGGTGCGCAACAGCCTACTGAAGGTGTTTCTATGTCTTAAATCATTAGATATGCTGTTCCATACCTAGGCGGCAAAAAGTGACGAAACATTTCCTTCGTACATCTTTTTATTATGCCAACGTTATATCACATTACATAAACAGTCAGGACATACGATCTAAATTACATTCATTTTTTGGGGAAAAAAACTGCTGTCATAAAATATCTGTAATATCTCTGTCACTGCATGGTAAATACAACAAGTTTATTTATCGTTGTATATGAATAGTGTACCAACGTAAGCTCTGTAAAGCTATTATTACAACAAAGTGAAGAAGATAAAATATATAGAGTAGCATCTTATATCACTCTTTTATCATTGTGATACTACAGAGTCACACCCTAACATGGGGCTACTACCTCTCTCTTTGTTATACTCTCTAATCATTGTGATACTACAGAGTCACACCCTAACATGGAGCTACAACTTCTCTCTTTGTTATACCCTCTAATCATTGTGATACTACAGGGTCACACCCTAACATGGGGCTACTACTTCTCTCTTTGTTATACTCTCTAATCATTGTGATCCTACAGAGTCACCCCCTAACATGGAGCTACAACTTCTCTCTTTGTTATACCCTCTAATCATTGTGATACTACAGGGACACACCCTAACATGGGGCTACTACTTCTCTCTTTGTTATATTCTCTAATCATTGTGATACTACAGAGTCACACCCTGACAAAGGGCTACTGCTTCTCTCTTTGTTATACTCTCTAATCATTGTGATACTACAGAGTCACACCCTAACATGGGGCTACTTCTTCTCTCTTTGTTATATTCTCTAATCATTGAGATACTACAGAGTCACACCCTGACAAAGGGCTACTGCTTCTCTCTTTGTTATACTCTCTAATCATTATGATACTACAGATTAACACCCTAACATGTGGCTACTACTTCTCTCTTTGTTATACTCACTAATCATTGTGATACTACAGAGTCACACCCTGACAAAGGGCTACTGCTTCTCTCTTTGTTATACTCCCTAATCATTGTATTACTACAGAGTCACACCCTAACATGGGGCTACTACGACTCTCTTTGTTATACTCTCTAATCATTATGATACTACATGGTCACACCCTAACTTGGGGCTACTACTTCTCTCTTTGTTATACTCACTAATCATTGTGATACTACAGAGTCCCACCCTACCATGGGGCTCCTACGTCTCTCTATGTTATACTCCCTAATCATTGTGATACTACAGAGTCCCACCCTAACATGGGGCTACTACTTCCCTCTTTGTTATTCTCTATAATCATTGTGATACTACAGAGTCATACCCTAACATGAGGCTACTACGTCTCTCTTTGTTATACTCCCTAATCATTGTATTACTACAGAGTCACACCCTAACATGGCGCTACTACTTCTCACACCCTAACATGGGGCTACTACGACTCTCTTTGTTATACTCTCTAATCATTATGATACTACAGATTAACACCCTAACATGTGGCTAGTACTTCTCTCTTTGTTATACTCTCTGATCATTGTGATACTACAGAATCACACCCTAACATGGGGCTACTACCCCTCTCTTTGTTATACTCTCTTATCATTGTGATACTACAGAGTCACACCATAACATGGGGCTACTACTTCTCTCTATGTTATACTCTCTTATCATTATGATACTACATAGTCACACCATAACATGGGGCTACTACCTCTCTCTTTGTTATACTCTCTAATCATTATGATACTACAGATTAACACCCTAACATGTGGCTAGTACTTCTCTCTTTGTTATACTCTCTTATCATTGTGATACTACAGAGTCACACCCTAATATGGGGCTACTACTTCTCTCTTTGTAATACCCTCTAATCATTGTGATACTACAGAGGCACACCCTAACATGGGGCTACTACTTCTCTCTTTGTTATACTCTCTTATCATTATGATACTACATGGTCACACCCTAACATGGGGCTACTACTTCTCTCTTTGTTATACT